CCCCAAAACCCCAAAACCCCAAAACCCCGCTAATCAACATTTAATCAAGATTATTGGCTGACATAAACAAATATTTTAATCAATAAAGTCAAGAAATATTCTTAATATTCATGACTATTTATCTATAGTTGAAGTGATACTTCACTGTCTTATCTATATTAATCAGGCTTTTCTGATTCTTTTGCTTTACTAGATGATGCCAGTGGCTTGCAGAGATGGACCCTGAGAGCTGTTTCGCTTGGTAGAGCCTCTGCTTATATTAATCTCATTCACATTTTCCTTGTCCTCAATATCGACTCCACTTGCTCCCTAGTTAGCTACGGCTTTCCTAGACCTAAGTCTTTTACTAATAGGCAGGTTATCTTTATTGATCGATCTGGCTGAGTTAGATGAGACAATATCGTCCATACTCTGATTCTCCAAGTCCACAGCTGCTCTTCCCTTTTCCTTGCTAAAGATTATCTGGCCGTTGGTCTGGAACTGGAAGGACTGTGTGCTGAGGTCATCTTAATTATTAAGATTTTGCTTTTTTATATTATTATATAGGACTCCTTGCTTGACTCGCTAGTTGTTATTCTGGATTCGCTTGCGGCCTCCGATCTGTTTAAAGGGAGGAATGTGAGGTTTTTGCTCTTCCTCTTGAGTAATAACTCTGGCACTTAGTTCCTCATCATTACCAATCACATATCTGCTATTGTTATTGTTAAGGTTCATATTTGTGGTGTTTATGTTTGTAGTGTTAACATTAATCTGAGTGGTATGATTAAGAAGGTTATTGATGGCAGATTGATTTTAGATATTTGACAAGTACATATTCGTAGAGTAGTCCTTCACTGTTTTACTGTCTCCACTGCACGATCCGATGCCATCATGCTATCTTGTGGTACCTTATGTAAGCACTGGAGACTCAGTGCCACTTTTTGGACTAGAATGTCTGCTATTAGAAGCCTGTAGTATATCCTCGAACAGCAGACTTACTCTGTCTTTGCAGAGTCCTGTGCTTGCTCCAGCCATCTTACCATATCCTGAGCCTAGCAGGCCATTATTGATATTATGAAGTTCCATTCTGTCCTTCTTGCTAAATGATTCATTTAGATAGTCCAACTGCTTCTTCATCTTCTATGCTGTTTGCTGAACCAGACTAAATCTGTCCTAGAATGTCAGCTTGACTGGCTTTACAGCTGAGAAACTCTGATTAATCTTTGAGTCAGACAGCATGATCGAGTCCTCATTCAATTTCTGAGCCACTCTGCTTTCTTATTCTTGGAATCTTTGTCTCAAAGACTCAACAGTCTTCTTGACTATTAACTTTTCCTCACTTTTGTAGGGATCTCTAAAGAGATAAAAAGATTTGGAAAGGTCTTTGTGACATATCAGACATTCTGTGATTCTAGTGTTAATCTTCTCGTACTCATTGGCAATTTCATTACAGCACTCAAGGCAGATTGAGTTCTTGCAGCAATCAGTGATTAGAGCATGCGAGCATAATCTTGTACAAATCATGCACTCAAATTTAAAGTATTTAAGCAAGAAGTAGTTAGTATCTATCCCTTCACAGTATTCTACTTCACCTCCTTCAAGGATAGTTTTCATAATGAAATTAAGGAATGACCTGCAGTTCTTATTAAGCTTTTATTCTTGCTTAGGTGCGAACTTCTTAGACATATAATCGTATCGCTACATAAATCTATATTGTTTGTTAGTAGTCAGGTTATAGTTCCCTTAAGAAAAGAGCATGATAGTTCATAAGATTGTTTTGGAATATGGCTTACCTAAATACGTAGTCTTCCTGATTATTAGAGTTGGTGTCAAAGTTGCCTTGGTTAGGATTTTGGTTTTGCATGTTTTAGATGAAGGTGCCATTATAGTTCATCTGCAGAGCAGGACCATCTCCTACTTTTTATCCATCCTTAACCAACAGAGCATTGTAAGTTTGCGAATTTTGTCTGTTCATGAACATGTTTGTTGTCAAATCACCTACATTAGTGTGATTTATGGTATATGTTGTGATCACTCCATGACTCTCTCCTATAATCAAATGTGTTAAAATCCATCTAATTCTATCAGAGATTATATATATCTTCTTTGTATGCAAGTCATTTTAGTCGATTTGCACACAATTCTAATTGTACAATTAGAATGAAAACTTACCATTTTTATTAAGCTGTAATTGAGTGAGAGTGTTTTCGCCCTTATGGCTTTGGTTGTTCATGAAATCATTATTGATTGCCTGTTATCTCTAAAATGCGCGCTTAATTACATCTAAACAACTGCAGACCTTTTTGCTTTTCTTGCCTCCCTCAACAATAGTATTGCTCTACGACATCCCAGACTCCATTCTTAAAAATATAAATTATGAATTCAAATTTAAATTCTAACCATTTTAATACTTTTATCACTTCGATATTCAACCATGGGGTTTTGGGGTTTTGGGGTTTTGGGGTTTTGGGGTTTTGGGGTTTTGG